AACATGTCACTGTCACAATGATTTCGAACCTTCTTTCCGTGTGCCGAGTTGGTTGCGTTTTGGGAACAATTGTCTGATGACTTAGTCAAGCAAGTAATCCATGTTTTAGTCAACCCCTCCCCCAACCAGAAACCCTGCAAAAAACTATCAAAACCAAGAAACAATCACTGAACATCTACAAAAAAATAACAACATACAATTGCAAAAAATTATCCTTCATGGGAGTCACTTCACACACGAATCGCACTCATACACTGAGTGAATCCAAAAGCTACAGACTGGGGTATAGAGGTTCAGAGTTTGTTGGAAATTTGCAAGTTGCATAGGGAAGGATATAGCTCCCTTCGCTCAAGAGAGTTGATGCTGTGACAACTGGGTATCTTTTGAGTTGGACAATATATCAGCATAAAAAAACATATCGCAATTTGAACAAAAACATTGTCTATTAAAAAAGGTTCTTTGGTTGTCTTCATCAAACAATCTTAGGTTGGCCTTGAAAAGACCACTGTCCTGTGTGTAAAGGGACTGTGTGTGAAGGAATGCCGGCGATGTTTGATACCAAAAAAACCTGTTTTCAAACGTATCCAGATTATCCAATTCAATACCAAAATCAATTAGCATGTTTTCTGAAACATATTTAACAAGGTAAACAACAATAGCCGATGTACAGGGTGGTTTGTTCGGCCTATTGTGGGAGACGGGCTGCTCCAGCGACATGTTGCGAAAATTGTCAAAACCAAAGGAGGGGGCGTTGGCAACATGTGTTCCCATGACAAAGCAACACGCACGCAGGCTTTTCAACGTGTCCAACATCAAACAATTAAACACATCTAACCTCACATTTGGAAAAATGTAGCAAAGCGCGCGCCGATTCTCCAGCTCAAAAATAAAGTTGAACACACCTGTCAACCTGAAGTGAAATGCAAGTGCACACGCGAACAGGGTTGTCTTACGTCACACCCATATGCTCTACGACAAAATGCACATCCTGTTCAAGGACTGCATCCTCGCACTGCGGATGAGAGAATGGCATTCTGTTGCATTTCAAAGGTCAATTCACTATTCAGCGCCTCTCTCAGCTCTTAAAGTCCATATAAGTCCATCAAGTCGTCTCTGCGAGCTGCTTTTTCGATCACGCAGCCCACCGATCTTCTGACACAGGCGGTGCACCATGTTGGAGTCGCCTGGCTCTTCGGTTTGTATTTTGCTGCGTTCCATTTCACAATCGTCCACATTCCCGAGGCCACGCCCAAGGCTCCAAGCGCGCTCAGGGCGACGGCGCTCTACATTGCGTCGTCGGCTTGCATCGTCATTGACCTGGCAGCTGAGGAATTGGTGCTGGCGTTGACTTTCGCTGTCTCCTTGTCCTTGGCCATGAACTCGACCATTTGCTTCGCAAACAAAGCTTCTCAACATCCAGCAACAATCGCTGCGGTCTCTGCTTCTCCACTGTGCAATGGCCTTCTGACTCCTGGCCTTGCTCTCAATGAGACAAGCGTCAAGGAAAATGTGAAAGCAGGTAATTTGCATCCTTCTCAACGAGGCGGCGGCCATTCTGCGGCTCAGCCAACGTCGTCCATGCCCCCTCTGTTGAGGGCTGCCACACCTTTCTGCGTCTTCCTCTGATGGCATCTGGACCACGCCAGGCGTCAGCATAGGGATCTCAGGGAATGATGATGAGAAGCAGAGGACGAGAGGATTCCGCGCAAGGATTGTCAGCCAGAGGATGAGCAAACTCGGGCGCGAACATGTCAGCCGAGGCAAGTGTTGCGGGGGCTTGTAATGAGAATGGAAAGGTGAAGATGGTAGACGCCCAAGGCAAAGTCATTTCCTCAGCAGGAGTGACGAAGGCACAGCTCACACTCAGAACACCTGTTAAGCAGCTCGAAATTCAAGGGCAACTTGCCCTTGGCCAGGTATTGCTTTCTGCAAGAAGCTCCTGTCCCGTGGGTTTGAGGTCTGCAGCCTGCGGCAACCCGAAGACAGACAGGAGGGTTCCACTGCACATAGAGAACAACAGCGTACACCTGGAGGCCAAATTGAGACGGTGAGCGTTTGCAGAGTTGATGAAGACGACCGTTGAAGACAAATGAGGGGAAGAAGGCGAGGAAGACGTGAGTGACGATGATGCAACAAGCCATTGAGACCATTGCGCGAAGTCCGGGATGGCATCGCCTTCCCAGTGGCGTAGCTGCGCGCACAGATGAGACAACCGACAAGTACCTCAACCCAGAAGGCATGTTGAATGAGAAATTGAAGGAAAAAAGGCGTCTCGCGTCACACTGAGAATTCAATCCACTAACGCTTCAGATATTTGGCGCTGTCATGGGCTCCACAAAGGACATTGACATTTCTGTCACCTTCAGACTTCGAAATTTCCAAATTTCTATGAAGGAGGCAGTGAAGGTGAACGATGCGCTTCGTCAGACAGAGTGTGAAGACGATGAATTCGACGCAGGTGAAGCAAATGAGCATTAGCCATGGAAGGATGGAAGAGCCACAGCGTCGCGAACGCGATCCGCAGAGGGAAGTTGCCTTGACATTGACTGAAGCCAGCGTGCACAGAAAGAGGCTTTCCAACCAGCAGTACCAAGAACAGACCTCTTGCAAGGCTTCGCAACTTCAAACTGCGGCTGCAGTGGGAGATCGACGCTGGAGATGCCAGCACGGAAGTCTAAGTGCAGGGTCGCCGCATCCTGACACGCATCGCTGTGAGGCCTTGGCCACGAGGTCCAAGGAGGATTGGCATAAGTTGAAAGACCGCAAGGAAAAGACGGCCCTGTCCTTCAGTTTGCCTGCGCCTTCACCAATGAGAAAACTATGAAGCGGTGTTGGGCGAGCGCGCAAAGCCACCAGAGCGGCGCGACTGCGGTAGCCGAAAGCCGCGCTAGCACTTCCAGTATTGCGCCGGCTGAAGGCACAGCCAGTCTCAAGCATGTTGTTCGGGCAGATGGTGAGCGAAGTTGTTTGCAAATTTTGCAGGCAATTCAACAGACAAGAGCCAGGCTGAATCTGAAGACAGAAATCCGCATCGCGGACAGAGACCAACGCCAGAGCAATGGTGCAGCAGAACGCGCAGTACAAAGTGTGAACAAATGGGCAACTGCATTCGTGAGTTCTGCAAGAAAGGCGTCGACGTTGCATCGGCGGAGAGACGCGCGCAGGATGGCTCCTCAACCGCTTCAGAGTTTTGCAGCCTGCCCGAGAAGAAGACGTTTTGGAAGGCAATACAGACGCAGCGATTGCGCCTTTGGCGAGTCCGTCCCAAAAAAGCTCAGAGTCCATGCAGGGAGACGCAGCCCTAAAGAGAGGTGCCTGAGTAGGCACAGCTCAGCTGGCGAGGGCGCCGCGAGATCCCTTACACCATCAGGCGCAGCGCAGGAGCAACAGACGACCCCTGGCAGTTCAACAGCGTCGACGTTTGTTTCCGAACGAAGAAAGGGTGTTCTGAAAAAGAGACGGGAGGCGATCCCCGCTACAGATGCCACGGAAAAGGAAACCATGGGCGTGACCAAGCAGTCAGATACTGCCATAGGTTTTGTCGCCCCGATGATTGAGGAGGATTCACCACACCTCGCGCGCCAATGACACCATGACCACAGAAGGAAATGACATTGAGGATCACGCAGAAGCCGATGTGATGAAAAGGGACTATGTTGGGAAGAGCCAGACGCGACGGTCACCGTGGGGGAAGAGGAGATGCTGGCTGAGCACACTCCAAGAAGGGCGCAATGGTTGAGGAGCGTGAAACATTTGCACCTACACTGGCATCAGTTGTTAGTTGTTCCAAGGTTGTTCCCATTCATTTTGGCAGCTGATGATTGCTGATGCGCAAGGTGCTTTCTTCGCGTCGAAACAATCTGAGGGCAAGAAGAGCGCCATCAAGTACCATGACAGGGCCGACCGTTTTGAGAGACGCCTTCCAGGCCAAAGAACAGCGGCGTTGGTACGATGGTGTACATTAGCGGCGAGAGCGGGCCTTCCTTGCATTCAGCCTGGGAGCGGGCTACGTTTCAAGAGATCTCGATGACATAGCCTGACACGCGGTCTGTACCTCCTAAGCCTTCCGTGCGCTCCAGCACTCACGCGCTAGGCGCCCCCGCTTTCCACAATTGTGGCATACGGGGCAGTCGTCTTTCCCCTGGCCATCTTTGCCCTTGCCCTTGCCTGTGGACTTCAAACTTGCCTTTGCTCCATGTCCCCTGTGATTGAGAAGCTCTTTCCTTCCCCATCATCTTGTCCTTTTCCTTTCTCCGACCATATCAACCTCCATGGGGCTCCATGGGCGTTGATTCCTCTGCCTGTCTCAATCGTCTGCTAGAAATTCGAGAAATCCCATCTCTTCGCTATCTTGTCCTTCGGCGGTTCGTCGTCTTTGTCATCTGCTTCTGAACTTCAGCCCTCAGCGACTGGTAGAGACTGACGGATTGCTGCTATCATACACGGCCATACGTGGGACTCTTGATTTGTTGAAGGAAAGGTCAGGCGCGCGCGTCCCTTGTTTTCTCATCCACACTTCTGCCAGCACCAGCGCACCCAGAACTGAACACGCGCAGGGTCCAGAAACACGGTCTCCTTGACTCGCCCTACTTGTAGTCGAGGTCGTCGTCCGGAGCCCCCTGCTACCGTGCAGCGACGCGCGCCGATTTTCCAGCTTTAAACAGAGCCTGAACACCCGTCAGCCTGAAGTGAATCGCAACAAGCGCGCGCATAAACAGGGTCGTCTTATGATTCTTACGTCGCGTCCGCACGCTCTATCAACTACTTTAAAACAACATCCGCGCGCTTCCGAAGCCAGTCGCATTGTCTGGACGTTCGGTAACGGGGTTCTACCTCTCTGACACTCCTCTCCTCTTGGCCTTGCCTTTTGAACACCCCAAACGGCCGAACCCCGTCGCATATCGATGAGCATGCCTTTCCAATTGTCATGATATCCAATGTACGCAAAGCGACATGAATGAAGGTAAATGATATGTTGAACCAAATCAAAAACGTGCTGTTTAAAGAGAAAACGCCTTCCAATCGCCCAAGTCGGCGCAGGTCAAAAAGCAAGATCGAAAGGTCGACTTCAATCGCGTCGCCTGCGCTGCATCTCGGCCACCACGAGCGAACGCCATCATCCCGTCTGGCCGTCGCTGCAGCTCCTCTGGCCGCCGGTGGTCCAACTCAGCCTCGAAGCCCTTCACAGCACAGGGGGGAGACTGCAGTGAAGAAAGCAAAGATCAAGAAAAGCTGTGTTAAGAAGATGGAACCACGAACCCGCATGCACTCCAAAACAACCACCCAAACAATTTTTGACACTCTTGTGGGGCGCACGCTTTTCGGAAACCTCTGTGGGGCACTCTTGCGCGCTCTTGTGAGACACCTTGTATGACACTCATGTGGGACACCCTTGCGGAACACTCTTGTAGGACACTCTTGTAGAACACTCTTGTCTCTCGTGGGACCTTCTCGTCTGACACGGGACACTCTTGCAGAACACTCTTGTAGGACACTCTTGCGGGACACTCTCGTAGGACACTCTTGCGGGACACTCTTGTGCGTCACTCTGGTGGGACACTCTCGTAGGACACTCTTGTCGGGCACTCTTCTGGGGGACTCTTGCAGAACACTCTTGTGGGACACTCTTATATGACACTCTCGCAGGACACTCTTGCGGGACACTCTCGTAGGCCACTTTTGCGGGACACTCTTGTAGGAAACTCTAGTTGTCAAGTCTCCAAAACGAGCGTTTCGTGCGAGACTTCCTCAAAAACAAATTCTTCAAGTCTGCAAAGCGAGTGTTTCGTACGAGACTTCCTCCAAATCCTCCAAAATCGTGCAAGGCTTCCTCCAGAACTCACACTTCGACAACGAGCGTTTCGCGCAAGACTTCCTCCATTCGTACAAGGCTTCAGCGGCAAGGCCCCATCGGACCGCACACACGCCAACCAATGCCACGGAGACTCCGCCACAACTCGCAACCTCGCGATACCCAGCGCCTGCCACGAAAATTTGCACGCCCGCACCTGCAACAAGCACACAAGTACTGCGCCTGCCACGAAATATGCGATCTCCGAATTGCTTCCACACCTCAAAACCCGCGCGAAGTACTGAGCCTGCCACGAAAAGTGACAATATCATAGCATGTTGGCTTCAACAAAATTTGCGCCACGCAACACCATTTGGAATAATTTTCACACGTTCTGAGCGCACGCCTATCCACCAAAAACGCCATTTGAGCTGAGACTTGTCACGAAAACACACTGCCACATCTGACAAGCACACCACTCTCCAAACGCACGTATCCACACGATTCCTTGCTATTTCAGAGGAAAATTGCACATCATGCTTCCCCAAAACCTTCCCCCAATGGTTGCGGTCGCTACGACAACAAGTCGCGAACATGGCCCTACCCCCAGACCCCCACGTTAAACGAGAACCCTTCGTTACGCATTCGGGAATAAAAACCGTTACCAAAAAAGAATATCTATATATATATATACGTGCGTGTGTGTGAGTGTAACTTGTTCAAGGCAATCGTTTGCAAGCCGGTTGTTGTCACACCCCGGCGTCGCGGATGTCCTTTCTTTGGCGAAGACGATGGTGTAGCGTTGCTTCTGCACACCCTATGCGTGTGTGGCGTTGTTCTGTACGCGGACGACTGGTCAGATATTAGGTCTCTTGCTTGGAAAGCGTGGTGGGAAGGCTTTGCACGAATCGCGCCGCCACATTCTGAGCGCGCAGACCGACCCCGTGATGTCATGGCAAGCCGGCAAGCCGAGATTGAAGTCAACATCGCAGTTGCTCACGATGCTGCACAGCGAAAAATGTGAATATGAGGGGTTGACCGCTCTGTTGATTGTTGGCCATGGACGGACGGTGCCCTGCGAGCGAGACACAATGGCACGGCCCAAGTCTGCTACGATGAGTCTGACTCTTGCTAGTAGAGGTGGCAAGAGTGAGTGCCCAAGTGCTTCAGTGCAGCGGAGCGGTTGGTCTCGCTCTTTGTGTGGGGCTGTAGTCTATATAAGTTGTAAAAAGTTGTACAAATTTCGACTGCCCCACGCCCTTGTCGGCCTTGTCAGCGTGTCTAATGGGTGGCGCTGTTTGTTTTCTTATGGTGTGTATTGCGCTGTAGCTGTAGAGTATTTTGGACGGGGTGTTGCTTCCTTTTCGTCTTGTTCTTTGGCCTCGTGCTCCGGAAAGCTCCGTGATTCTCCGGGCCTAGGACATAGTTCGTCCTCTTCATCTTGTTTGTCCACTTTGTCCTCATCCTTCAGTCCGATATGCTGGGCCCAACCCTAGGCTTCAACGGCTTCAACCAGCGGTTGTATGACTGCGGACATCACAATGGCCTCCCGGCCACCGGCTAGTGAGAGGCTCCAGATTCAATTGCCGATGCTGCTTAATTATTCCGGTCACCGTACAGTAGGTTGTCCGTTTTCGTACAAGGAATGCATAACCATGTGAAGTTCAGGCATTGGGCCCTGTCTTTGTAGCTAATTTCTTGCGCGTGGTGTGATTTGACTCGTTCAGCCTGGCTCGCCCAATAAATGGGAAAGATTGGGGGTTGAGCCAGGTCAATGTTGAATAATTAGGCGCTGCAGCCACAAACGAGTCTTTGGCAAGCGCAAGAGGAAAGAGAGGAGACGATAATGTTGTGTGTGTATCTATATATATATATCGATGTGTTTGTGTATATTATCTATATTATCATTGTTTGTGTATGTACGCATATGCGGCCATCAACTTAGTTTACACTAACAGCGGTTGACAAAATAGACAAACCTAAGCAAGAACCATGAACACTATATTAAAGTGTTCCATGATGCTTTGCTAAAAGATCTTCTAACGACTCCTTGCAAATTTAATTCTATAAACCGATATAAACCTGTCCACCTTGTCTTGTCGCAATTGCTGACGGCGTCGTGCAGCAGCTACCAGGTGCTGGTTGGAGACGTCTTTTGAGGCCTCAAGTGGATCGGGGAAAGGCCTCTCTTGGCGGTTGAACAAGGGGGCTCACGCTGCCAGTTGATCAAAGAAACAGGCAGATCACGCCTTTCACGGCTTTCTTTTGTCCTATTGCGCCACGCTACCACGCTTGCCACGAAAAATGGACTGCAAATGAGAACAACTTGTTTGGAACAAAGGAAGGTAAAGGCTCTTTGAGGGCCAATGAAAGGTACGAGTATTCTCATTTTGGTAGCCGGCTGGACCTCACCAAGAGGCTGGTACGAGGTGCGAGGTGGTCCCATCTGGTCTGTGAGACCTCGCACAGCGACACAAACCAGAACTTCCGGACAGTCCTTCCTTTTAGAGAACAGCGGTTGGCCTCTCTGGAAAATGTAGAGAGGCAGAAAGGATGAGGTTGGGCATGGATTTCACGCCTTGAATCGTATCATCTTTAAACGTATCCTATTGGTTGTTGAAGTCCCGCACAACAGCATAACTACCACTGCAAGCACATGACTTGCAGTTCAAGATTTTGTCATGAAACCACAGAACTAAGTCTTCCCGAACATCTAGGAACCAAATCATTAGTGCGAGCGCTTCTTCAAGCAAGCTCTACCCCCCTCAAGCGGAGGGAGGAGCTTCCTTGAAGAAGCGTGAGCTATCCTGCTACAAACTATCCTACTTAATTAAGTAGGCAGTCTCTACTTAAGTAAGGAGGCATGGCCGGGCAGGTTTTTTCAAATGATGTCTCAAGATCTCTAAAGGGCCAAGACACCCGCTGCTTCCAGGCGCTGCAGGGGAGGTACGTTGAATGAGGAGCTCCAGCGCCTCAAGGCCAACTGCAACATGTCAAAGAAACACCAGAGGAAGATTGTGTTTTCCCAATGTTCTTTTGCATGTAAACCAAAGAAAGAACTTAGGAAAAAAGGTCCAACTGACCGAACAGAGCTGTCCGACGAAAAAAGAAAAAACTATCAAATATCGATGTATCGCCCTCCACTCCATCCCAACCAACGTTTAAAAAGATATCCGATTGACAAAATGAGAGTGAGGCAAATTCATCCAGCCAAGTCACAGGTTCTGTCTCAATGTCGCTTGACCTCAGCTGTCCGGATCATATCACATGTGGAAATCGCATGAAATCACCCAAAAAAGTCGATCGGGATGGATATATTATAAGAACTTAAAAGCTCTGTCAGGCTGTGTCCATCATCTTGTCAGAAGTTATATAGTTTTGGCCTAATTGCAAATATTTTGAGTTGACTTCCGCGAAATACCATTTTGCCAAGCAGCGACAACCGGACCCTGCGTTGTTCCCTGGTGAGGGCAGCAAGCGGCAAGCAAAATGACCCTTCCGTTTAGCAAGATTTCTCCTTCTTTTATACAAAAGGAACCGCTTCCCTTTTTCATCATTGCCCCAGCGTCCCAAATTGGTTCCCTCCCGCGTGATGTGGTTTCGGAAATTAAAACACGGATGAACTGTTACGAAACGACATGGCGCCGTGGCGGTCCACCTCGCCTGGCCGGCTGGGCCAAAATGTAGGGCGTCCCCTTCTGAGCATCCATCTGGGCGAACCGGAAGAGAGCACATGTGAACCAAACATGAGACGGGCCACAAAAAATCGTAACCCCTCGCGTAATGCCAACAGTACACGCACCAAACAAAAGACTGGACCAGATTTAGTAGTAACAAAACCATTTCAGCCATCAGGAAATTGCAATACAGACCAACCGAAACTTTGACTCTACGTTGCTCCCTCTCTCTGCTCGTAATTGCGAAGGCGAATGGAAATGCGCGAGCAGTTGCGCTCGTCTTGAACTTCAGCTTCGGCGTTTGCAACAAGTTTTCGAGCCGATGAATGCAAAACGCTACACTTAACATCCACATAGTATCATGAAATATGCATGATATGAGTCAAGAACCATCTGCGCGTTTACAGTTTTAGAGCTTCAATCATCATGGACGCGCATTTTTGGCACATCCCTCCCGGGTTCCATGAAAGAGAGGTCTCGTGTCTTCGCGCTGGTTGGATTCTGACCCTTCGGGGCCCAGATATGGTGAGTCGCTTGTCCATTATCACACCAATCTGCACCTGCAGAGCCCCAACCCCACACCTTTTTTTCAATCTGTAAACTGCGGAGAACACCCACCACTTCCAATAAACCAAAAGTTCCTTTCCCTTGCTGCCTCGTTTCTAACACGTTCAAGATGAGAGGGGCCCCACGAAGTTCTTTCTTACACCCGCCCTTTTCTTGGCTGACAACTGATTTGTTAGCCACTAGCACCACTGACGATTTCAATCAACCTGAGAAAGCCAGTTCGCCAAATAGCCTGTTATCGCACAGCTCGCAACACTGGCCCTCCACCACCTTTCGTTTCGATAGCTTATGTCCGCGCATGTCGAGAAAGGGAAAACACTTACTTGCCCCCTCTCCGGTCACAGTGTTCCATGCCCCGCTTCTCCACTACTTAAACCTGTCCCAGCGCTTCATCCCTGGGAGCTGCCCCGCAGACACCCTCTGATGGATCTCCGACCCCTGTTGGTGTTGAGGCTGAATTGCGAGCACACCACCTCTATCAGTACCAGCCAACTGCTGCTCTTCCGGGCTGTTATTTGGCAGCCCGCCCATATATGCACTCTAGGCGTCAAACAGGAAGGGGGCCACGGCTGGAAAGGCTTGCACAGAGTTGGCTGCGTCAAAGCTGCGCTACTTTTCCTCTTCCTTTCCCTCCACACAGGGATTCATACGCTGAGGTCCACATCCCCACCTTTGCGACCTCATATCTTCATCTTGACATCCCCTTGTCGGCCATCTCCTTGATCCAACCTTGATGTCTGCGCGTCCGTGGGCGGTTGCTCTTCTTCTTCTTCCTTCCTTCCTTCCTTTCTGTCTGTCTGTCTGTCTGTCTTTCTTTCTTTATCTATTTATTTATTTATTTATTTATTTAGTTCGGTCTTTCTTTCTGTCTGTCTTTCTTTCTGTGTTTCTTTCTATCTTTCTGTCTGTCTGTCTGTCTGTCCCTCTGTCTGTCTGCTTGTATTTAATTCTTTATTTCTGTATTTATTTGTTTTCTTTCTTCTTCCTTCTTCTTCTGCTTCTTCCTTCTTCTTCCTGCTTCTTCCTTCTTCTTCCTTCTTCTTCCTTCTTCTTCCTTCTTCCTTTTTCTTTCTTCTTCTTCCTGTTTTCCTTCTTCTTCCTTCTTCTTCCTTCTTCCTTCTCTATCCTTCTTCTTCCTTCTTCTTGAACGCAACTTCACGGCCATCGCGGCGATCTTCAGAACCTTCACCTTGCCTGTTTTCGATCCACCTGATGAGTGGTTCGTGGCGCTGTGTCCCTAGCTGGCGCCACTGTGCTCGTCCTTGCCGTAAGTCCACATCGACGAGGTGCGTTGGATTACCTCCACCTTGACCATGAATCACCACACCAGCTCCACATCCGCCGCCTGTGCGGAAAAATCCATGAAGAAATTGCGGCCAGCAGCGGGCCTCCCCGCGACCGCCAAAGGCTTGCCAAATAGCATCCGGGCTATTCAGCGCATTCAAGATCTCGTGCGAATCTATCGCACAGCAAGAAAGCTTGAAGCGTCGCGGCGCTTTTCCATCGCAAAACAACGAGCTCAAGGGATCCGCTTCGGATCGGTTTGGGGAGTCAATGGCCATCGAACATGCCAGTGCGCAACGCTCCAAATGCCTCAGTCAGAGAAAAATTGACACTGCTATGTTTTCTGTTTTCGATGGCCACCAGTTGCACAAAGGGTGCAGCAAGCCAGCGCTGAAAGCGCTCGATCAAGGTCACATCAACCTTGGTAAGGGCGTCAGCCCACATTGCATCCGTTGGTACCCATCGTACCTGTTCCTCTTTGAGGTAGTCCTGGATGCTCATCACAGTCACTATTGTTCGCTTCTCTGTGAGCGATGGTGCAGGGCTGATCACTGCGTCGTACAAGCTACGACAGTCTGTAGCTTGAAGGTGAGACATCTTTAACTGGTCGTTTGCGACCTCAGGCCAAAGGAGGTGCGTCATGAAGTAGTTCGTGAACACGCACCTGTCTGCGCGTTCGTCCATGGCATTGGCTTCTGAGGCCAAAGTCGACCTTGTGACTCTTGGGCTCCTTGTGCTTTTCCAGTCAAGCACTGAAGCTGGGCACTTCTTCTGAGTGCATTCTGGGCTCGTCACCATCACGAGCACGCCCATTTGGGACTTGTGTCCCGGTGCATTTGCCCAGCTACTGTCGCTGTAGCCGACGATCGTGGTCGCCCGGTTCCAGGGCACTGGGTAGTAGCTAAGCCCCAAAGATTCAGTCAGCTTCACCACCTTGATGAACTCATAGAGCTCGGAGAGTTCCTTGGTGGTCGTTTCACGGCCCTTGTTGCTTAAGCTCGTGATTGCAGCTGCATCTGGACGTGTTTGTCCTGCTAGCCATTGGAGGCTACCGGTCACCGACCGAAATTCCTGCCACTCACTTGGTGTCAGGCTGGTGTGCTCCTTCTTCTTGATGGTGGGAGCGTCATCGATCTCCTTGATGAAAGCCTTTTGTGTCACTTGGAGTGTCGTGACACTACCCTTCTTTGCCATGCGGATCTCTTTGCCCCTGAAGACAATCTCGTTGTCGGGGTTGAGAGCAGTCTGTGAACCCCAGGTGAACGCTGCCTTGATTTCCTCAAGGTCGTAGTCCTCTCGGTGTGCCACCAAGAAGTCATCAACGTGCACAATGAGGATGACCTGGAGCAGTCCAGCTTGGTCACGCTTCAGGAACATCATCCGGTCATACCGGTGTTGCACCATCCTGAGGCCCAACAGGGTCTTGCACACATGGGTGCTCCAAGTCTTCGGAGCTGAGGAGAAGCCATATAGATTGCCCTGGATGAGGTACAAGTCATGAGGGAACGTCTGCGCTGCGGCTTGGATTCCATCTCTTGGTGGGCGCATCCACAGCCTCTCTGAGCGTTGTTCTGGAACTCCTTGAAGGAATGCAGTCTTTACGTCTCCAGCCCAGAGATGCCACAACATGGTGGTGTTTTCCACCAGGCGGTTCATTCCACTGCGCGCTATCTGGAGCAAAATGCTTTCAGCGAGCTTTGTGGGAGTTGGAGATGCTCTGCTCATGCTTGCTAAATCTGGGTCGAAGTGGCCAAGGATGACCGTTCGACATTTGGCAATAATGTCGTTGATTGTTAGACCAGCACCTCTGTTCTTGTCGCGATAGGCATTTCGCGATGGGATCACCCTTTTCTTGAGCTGAGGGTGTGAAAGGATTTCTTTGGCCTCCTTGGGCTCCACTGGAACGACTCCGTTCCATTGCATCCAGCTCTTGTATTCCTTCTTGTTTGCTTCTATGTATAGCTGGAGCACCTTGGGGTCACCCTGAACAATGACACGCCAGGGGATTTCTCTGTCCATTGCTTTCCTCTGTTGGCGAGTCATCTTGGGCTCCTTGCCTGTGGATTCATCATTTGAGGAGCTCTCAAGGATGTCATCGTCCTTGTCTGCTTCAGCGGCCTTGGTTCTGTACACCCAAGAGGGTGTTGGTACGGGCATGTGCTCATTGGTGATTGGGCGGCCATCCCAATCTTGCGGCGGTGGTGTGAAGAGGACTGGTTCTCCGTCCTCCATGCTTGCTATCAGTGTTGCCTGTGTGGGAGCGTTGCCCTTGGTGAACTGTGTTGTCCCAATCCACCATTTGCCAAGGTCTTGCTGTGGTGCTGTGCTGTTCAACCAATTGTCGGTAATTGGTTGATCTGGTTGTCCATCAACGATGGGGTGTGTGGTTCTCTCTCCGGTAAGCTGTGAGGCTGGTACTGGAAGAGGTTCAACCTCGCCTGGTGTGCATAGACGTCTGCGGGGTTGTACATGGTGTCGGATAAGGTGACATCGGGTGTTCTGCCAGTAGTCTCTGTTTGTTCGTGTGTGTGTAACCTGCAGGGTTGTGGCTGGCTGTGGTTCCAATGCTTGTTCAGTCTGTTGTTCTGCTTGTTCTGCTGCTGCTTGTGCTAAGCTGCTGTCTGCATGCGCCTGCTGTGTAGTGTCGGTCATGTCATGTATGCTTGCTTGTGGGTTCATGCTCATATCCATGTCTGGTAGTTCAAGAGGTAGGCCTGTGGTAGAACCTGATGCTATTGCTTGTTGCGGCTGTGTTTGTATGGTGTGTTGCGCAACTGTTGTTGAGGTATGAGGTTGTACTTCTTGACGTCGCGGTGTCCGCTCGCGTGGGTGGTCGTAGAAGTGTTGCTGTATGTTGTGTGTTGTAGTCTGCTTGTATGTTGGTGAGTACACTTGTGGTAATGGTGGTGTTTGTGGAACTCGTGGTCCGAAAGGTTGCGCTGAGGCGCCTGCGAGTGGTAGACGTAGTGCTTGTGCTTCTGGTGCTGGTGGTGGCATGTCGATGTCTGTGAGTGGTGGTACTAGATCAGGTGGTCCGCCTGGTGTCTGCGGCGCGAGAACTGGTGCCATCGGCTCATCATCAGGTGGGCCTGGTCCTCGCTCATCTTGCCAAAGTCCATCGATCAGCCGGGTTCGAGCATCCTTGAGGCACTTGATGTCTTCATCTGACGGCACCCATCCTT